CCGCCTTCGCACACCCTCAGCCACGCCATCCTGGGTTCAGTTGGGCACTGCCCTCAACTGTGGAGTGGGGTTAATTTAAAGCAGAGATATTCCCTGACCCTAAATGCATCCACCCATGCCTCACAACTCTTATTTGTCTTTCTAAGCAGGGAAATTCTGTAGACGTGAAGTTTCAGATTCATGTTAGTACTAATATCAAAGCAAAAACAAAGTTTTACTTTCCGTATGTGAGAGGGGGTGAGGGAGCAGGATATGCCATTCTACCAGATAGCTACCAGACATACTACCTAAACTCTAGCCTGGCATGGGGCTCTCGGATTAATTTGACATGCAGATATATAAACGCATCTATTTTTATATGTGGAAGAAAAGTATAAGCTTTTTAAAAGAAATTTAATGATTGTTTTAATGATTCAGGGTGTTTCTTCATATATAAGATGGGGATAAAAATACATATCAGAGATTAATGTCAGAAGTGACCTGAAAATATACAAAAAGTGTTAGTGTCAGCTACCTCATAGTAAGTGCACAATAAAAGGTTGCTCCTAAAAATATACTGGAAGTGAGATCTACTTTTCCATCAAACAGAAGGAAGGCCATATCCTTACTGCAGGATCTTGTCAGTCTACTGGCTGACTCAGGTGTGGTCAAGCTTCCAGTGTTTGAATGCTGCTCTACCTCTACTCCTTGTGAGATAGTAGCTAAGCCATGAAACTGCCCTGGGTTTCCTTTTCTTCAGAAAGTATAAGCTTTTAATGTTTTTCCCTCCAAATTCTTCATCTACAAATGACATTAAACCACTTGAGTACATGAAAGAAGGTTGGCTTTGTTTGAAATAAATTATTTTTGGTGTAAAATATATTTCAGTTGAAAATGCTTTTTGGGCTTTCAAAATTAGTCTGCATGAAGATTTTTGCATCTGAATTATCACTTATTTCTGACAAAACTGATAAACTATTACATTTTTAACTGATGAAAATATCTCTCAGCTATATGGGAACTTTCAAAAGAAGTTGTTCAAGGTGTGATTGATGTTTTATACCTCTAAGCTACGATTTCTTTTAAATATTGGCTGTTTGAATGAGAACCTCCTATTTCTCCACCTTCTTAAACAGAAGCTGCTAAATCCCATGTACCCCTTTTGTTATCTAGTAGAATTCACCCCCTCTGTTTACTCTGCAGGAATACAGTGACAGGTAAAGTCCTTAGCTTTGACCTTACATCAAATGGCCTCAGGATATTATCTCTGATAAGGGAAACGTAATGGTGCACTGGCTTATACTGATGTTCTCAGTGAGACCATGTGTGTTAACGTATTTCTTGTAATCTGTGCAGGTGTGAGTTGTAGCATTAAAATTCATGGAATCTGTTGTCACATTTTTCTTGGGCTTCTCTTGAATGGGTTGGGTCTTTTGTTCCACAGAACTGATTTACTCAGGACTCCTTTTACAGTTCTCCAGTGCTGATGAAGCTGCTTTAAAGGAGCCCATCATCAAGAGGTTTGAAGAAGAAGGAAACCCTTACTATTCCAGCGCAAGGTGGGAGCCAGAACTCCCTGAGGGCTGCATCTGGGCAGTCAGGACAGCAGCTTTCGGGAGAACTGAATAGTGGGGATGGCCCAGCCTGTGTGGCAACCAAAAAGCAATGTTTGGGCGTACTTGATTTTGACCTGTGTCAGTAGTGGGAACGCATGCTGCTGAAATGCCCCTTCTCTCAGGCTGGCCTGGGGATCTGGTGCTGCCACCTTCTCCCCTTCTTGTCTTAGCCCACCTCTAGCTGAAGCCTGGGGCCTGGAGGGGTCCTGTAGCTGGCAGTTGAATCTCACTGGGCTGGGAAGTTAGGAATTACAGTCCTGGCTGTGTCTCTTTTACGAATTAGTTCTAATTTTTGTTTAAACACTTAGAGTCTGGTGCTAGCCCTTTCTGATTATTTTGTTTTTATCTCATTCTAATAATGAGATGGGTTGAACACTTCCTGGCACTTGCTAACAAGTATGCTCCTACGTTTAGAAGGTGATCAGTCACAGCAGAGCCCATGTGTCAATGCCAAGTAATTACCTCACACACCATCAGAGCTCTTGGTTCTGTTTGCTTCTTATGCCACTTAATGAGGTAATAAATTTTCCAGGCCTGTCCCAGCTGGAGACTAGCTGCATGTGATTTCAGACCATTGTTTTCCACCAACAACTTTAATGTTCTGCATTCTGAAGAGTAATCTAAGCTTCATGTCTTCCTTTTATCCCTTGGGCAGGGAGAAAAAGAAAATAACGATTTGTGTCTTTCAAAATTAAATTATCAGTGATTTATGCCATTGACTGGTGACGGCAAACTGGAGAAAATCAAAAGTTAGGATCCATTTCCATCATTTGAATGCTGCTTTTGTGGCAGCTGCTGCTCTTAGTGCTGTGGGTATAAAGACTGAATATGCTTATTTTCAAGAGCATAATTAGTCTCAGAAATTAAATGACACCCTCAGGATTTTTTTTTAAAAGTCTATTGTATTTATTTACTTTTTAAATAATATAATGGTTTATTTTTACATCATTTTGTGCATTTTTCCATCTCAGTTGTAATCCCCTTGGGCTTCCCACCACCAAATCACCCGTGTGCCATCACCATAGTCCAGTGCATTTCCCTCTCCCCACTGTTTTTGATCCCATTCCCCACTCCACTCCCATAAAATGTCTCTGGTACATAGCTGCTCATTATTATTATTATTTTCTCTCCTGGTCTGTTATACTCCTGCTGTGAGTGAAACCAACCGGTATTCTTCCTTTTCTTTCTGGCTTATCTCACTAAGCATGATCTTTTCAAGCTCCATCCATGTTGCTGCAAAAGGCATGTGTTTCTTTTTTTTGGTTGCTGAGTAATATTCCATTGTGTATATGTACCACATCTTTTAAATCCAGTCATCTACTTTTTGGGCATTTGGGTTGTTTCCATGTCTTTCCTATTGTAAATAAAGCTGCAGTAAACATGGGAACACCCTCAAGATTTTTTTAAATGCCTGTTTCTCCTTTTGTTAAATATGCACTTTTCCAAATAAATATACTAGGTATATTTTATTGTGGTAGGTCATGATTCATTTAATTAAGAAAAAACATTTTATAGATTTTGATTTGAGAAATATATTCTTTAACAATCACTTAGACATATTGTAGCTAGCAGTCAAAAAAAGGAAATAGAAAACCATGTGAAAAGTAAGAGAAAATATATATTGTGACTCACCTACAGGTTTTTTTTAATATATAAGATTTTGACTGAAATTCATAAAGACAGCTGAAATATTAAACTTTGAAAAATAGCATGTTTTATGAGCCATTAATTTGTTTTTCAACCCTATTTGAGATAAGTCATATCCTAAGAAAGACTGAAATCCTTTATTATTTTCATAGTTAAATTATTATGATTTAAATAGGTTATATGCAAGGCAGGAGTGCAAATGACTCAGATAGACTTATCTCTGGAAATAAAAGTTGAAAGGCAATAAGGTTTTTCTGTTTAATCTATATGGCTCTAATCCTTCTGTTGAAACACAGGGTGGCTTGGAGAAAGCAGCTTTCTTTCAAAGATTAAACATTTTCAAGACAGTTTGTGTGACCTCCCTTGGATTTAACAAATCTCAGTTTACAGTTGAATTCTGTGGTCTATATAAGCTTCGACCGGCCAGGTCTGTCTTTCCCTAGACCTGTGTCTTCATCTGTAACTACACCCCCCATCTCTTTCCTTACAAGTTCCATGTGCAGGGTGCCAGTTTTCTCCTGCTTAGTTGTTTTTTCTTTTTTTAAGATTTATTTATTTATGTATACAGAATTGGAATACAGGCCAGAGGTGTGGGGGATGAGAGGCTTCACCAGAGACAGAGTGGGGAGCACAACAGACAGATCGACTGAAGTACACTGCTAAGGGGAGCAGTGGGCGGGTCAGGAGAGGTCTGCCACCCTATGTAGGTTATCTCCCCTGCTGGGGATCAAAGTCATACTGCAGTGGCCGCAGATCACCTCATAGCGCTGTGCTTTAACCCGTTTTGCCACCAGGGAGAGCCCTGCTTCGTTGTTTTTATAATCAGACTTTTATCAGGCATTTGATTAGTGCCTTGTGCCTGAAGCCACCTCTGATCTGATGGTGAGTGAGGCAGCCCCAGCATCATCTTGCCTCTGGGGTTCCTCAGTTGACTGCTTCCGGAAGGAGGCTAATCAATTGACCAGCTTACAAATCACCAGAGTGGCCTTTTCTTATTAGCTGTTGATAGTTCAGGGTCCTGCTATGAATGTTTTATGAGCAAGGATTTGATTCATGGCCTGTCGATGAAAGTATGTTTTAATAATTGATGCTGTGTCCAGATCCTGAGGGCAGTTTGTTTAAAGAAAGTAAAACTGCCTCCTATTAACAGCCTTTAAGAAGCAATAGTTCTCATTCATTTTGCTTTAAAATGTTAATGAAATGCAAACTAAAATTTTACTTAAAAGTTTCTTCTGAGAGCAGATTAATACTAATACTTGTATTTCCTATTGCAGCAAAAAGTTAAGAATTACATGTCAATATATTTTATTAGTAAAATGTAGAATCTAGTCATTATTTGCAGCTTAAGAATTTGGGGCTTTTTTAGTTGGGGCTTTGGTTTGAGGCTATTATTTATATGGTTTATATGCTTCTCCATATTTTAACAGAAATACTTCAACTTGATTTGTATGTTTTTGTGGGCAGAAGAAAACAAGTTTTTCTTGCAGTAGTAAAAGTTTCAGAACCTAGATTATTTTGATATTTGTTATAATAAACAGTTTCTGAAGCCATATAGCTTCATACAACATTCTGTGGGGATCAATTTTCCTTCATTTTTGGTTAAATATGAATAGATCTCAATTGTGAATCTAATAGGTAGATACTACCTGAGGAAAAATTTCTTGGGCATTTCTGGGTATCAACTATACAATGGTATACTAGTGAGAGTGTGGTGGTGGAGTACTGATAACTCTTCTTTTCTTTTCTCAGGCTGTGGGATGATGGGATTATTGATCCAGCAGACACCAGACTGGTCCTGGGTCTCAGTCTTAGTGCCGCCCTCAACGCACCAATCCAGAAGTCTGACTTTGGTGTTTTTAGAATGTAGCTGGAATAGCAACCATCTTTCATTGGCCCTGTGCCCCAAACTAATACATGAGTAGCCTTAAGATTTTAGACTTTTCAACAGGTGTTACAGTAAATTTTTTTCCTCAACACAGTAAACCTCAATTCTTTGGAAATTTTCTCAAAAGAAATCTTTTTTTGTGGCTCAGCTTTACCACCTGGAAATTCCAGGTATCCCTGAGGTTATGAAAATATAAAATTGAATGATTGCTTTGCTGATTCTACACAATGATATTTTAACATGGTAATTTTTAAACAGTATTATTTTTCCCCACAGCCATCATCATGTTCCCTCCTGAAATAGTCTGGTGGCTCATTGTTGTCGCTCCGGGTTCTATTTTCTAGCCATTCTCTGCTCACCCAACACCTATCTGGCTTCCACTGCCACAGCCTTCTCCCAGCTCGCCACTGGCCTCCACATTGCCGTCAGTTTCCTTTCTGAATTTATCTGACTTAACTCTGAAGCTTTCTGGTCACTCCAACATTTCTTCCTAGAAATGCTGCACTTCGTCAGTGCTCCACCCCCTTGGGCTTGTTACCAACTTCTCTGGCCATTCTAATGCCACTCCATTACAGGCCCCTCTACCTGCACTGACCCCTACCTCCCCACCCTTCCCTATTTGCCTGAGTTTTCACTGGTCATTCATGAATACATCCTTACTCTAAGAGATCCAAATAGCATAAAATTATTTCTTCATTTTTTTAATTGTGGCAAAATATATGTAACAGAATTTGCCATTTTTACAACTCGACGTGTCCAGTTCTATGTAGCTGCTGCCACCCTCCATCTGTAGAACTTCTCATCTTACCCTGAAACTTGTACCCCCTGAATATGCCATAGTCCTCCCCATTCCCAGCCCCTGGCATGGCAAATTCCTGAGTGCATGTGTTTCTTATGGCTTGGTTCATTTCTGTTGGGCCATTTCAGCCTCTCTGGCTTCAGTTGCTGGAAGATGGGTGACTCCTGTGCTGACAGTTGTTAACACAGTTCTCCCCGGAGCACCAGGCCTGTCAAGTTCAGTCTTCAAGTTCTGTTGATTGTGCTGCCTCCTCTTGAACTCCCTCGCTGTCTTTTGGGCCTGAGGCTCACCTAGTCCAGTCTGTCCGTCACTCTGGAATTAAGATTGCCTTCCTAAAGTGCACATCTGGCCATGCTCCTCTCTTGTTAAAATATTTTACTGTTCTTTATGGAAGGACCCAACACTCTGCCCTCCAGGGTCGTGACCTCCAGACTCTTCTCCCAGAATTCTCTTTTCATACACCACGCTCAATCATTCTAGACTTAGAGCTCCTAGAACTGACCCTGGCTTTCCCACCTGAGGGCTGCCATCACTCTCTGCCGCAACCCTGCAGTTCTCCCTTCTTCAAACACTTAACTTTTGTGTCTCTGATTTCCCTGGGCTGGGTTAGAGACTACTATGCATGCTTATAAATAGCCTCCTGTTTCCTCTGTCACACACTGTCGCTTAATTGTACACATTTCTTTAAAATTGTCCTCCTAAAGAATGTAAGCTCCATAAGAGCAGGGGTCTGCCTGTTTATCTTGTATCTCTGAAGCTTGGCAATTGCAGGTGTGCAATTTAAATTTTAGTTTAAATTTAAATTTATTGTTGAATGAATGAAAAAATATGCATGTTGTAATTGATGTCCTCAGGCCATGTTGTTTTAAACTAGTGATTCATGATATAATCAAATACAACTATCAAATGCTTTCTTAATAAAATTAATATTATAAACATTTGTGTGTGGTGTTTAGTTAAGGCTGCATTTGTATATTAGGAAATCAGTTTAGTTTTTCAAGATGTGTGCAGATAGAAGATTACAATGAAGAAGTAGGATGTAAACATTTAAACACATTAAACTGTCAGTTAACATATTCAAAATATAATTCATAAAGTTATATTCTGTCAGTTATATTCATGCACAAACAAAATAATTTCAACACTAGATGACGTTTTAAAGATTTATTTATGCATATCACAACTGGGGTACAAGCCAGAGGTACAGGGGGTGAGGATTTACCAGAGACAGAGTGGGGAGCAGAACAGGCAGATGGACTGAAATATACTGCTGAGGGGAGCAGCAGGCGAGACAGGAGAGGTCTGCTGCGTCATGTGGGTCAGCTCCGTGAGATCGAACTTGTGCTGAAGTGGCTGTAGTGCTGTGCTTTAACCCGTTGAGCCACCAGGGAGGGCCTGGGTTAGAAGGATCTTAACTTTTTGTTATTTAGGAAGATCATGATCATCACTAAAACCACACATATGATAGATTATTTGATATACTTTATCTTTTTAAAAATGTTTATAATGCTTTACCGATCTAGGCAGCATTTTTGTTTCCCTACAGCTTTATTGAAATATAATGGGCATGTAACATTGTATAAATTGAAGGTGCAGAGTTAACATGTTCATCACATAACTTTTACTTGTAGTGAGATTTTTTTGTTGTTTTTTTATAAATAAAAAGCTACTATAATTGTGAATTTCAGTCAAGATAATATGAGTAACTTAGAATTTTAAGAAACATATTAATTGATCAGTCTAAATTAGACCCTCTGGACACTTAAAGAATGAAGATGAGACAAAATTATTTTTATTTTTCAGTTTTCAAGAAAAATGTTTTGAAATTAGAGTTTGTCAGAATAAGATTATATTTTCAACACTGGCAGAAGGTACATCTGTTGGAAGTACAAATGAAAAATCAGTCATTTGCCAAATATGCTTATTATGGGCAAAGTGCGACTAGACAGAGGCCAGATATGAACTTCACACGGTGGGAGCATGTTCTTGGATTATTTCACTAAAGTCTGTTTTTGGGGGGTGGTAATATAGTCTTGATAATTCTGAAGCACTGATGTCCATGACAGCTGACCTTTGTGTTCAAATCCAACTCGTACTGATCATGACTGGTTTGAAATTTGAAATTCAATATGCTAAAAAACGTCAAGAAAACCAACTAGATAATCATGGCCTCCTGACATTTTTGTCATTTCTCTAAAAATGTTACAAATTTAAAATTGACTAATAGTTGGTTATAATATAGGTTTAATTTTTTTTAAGATTTATTTATTTATGCATACAAGAACTGGGGTACAGGCCAGAGGTGCAGGGTGGTGGGGGTGAGTGGATTCACCAGAGACAGAGTGGGGAGCAGAACAGACAGATCGACTGAAGAACACTGCTGAGGGGAGCAGCAGGGAAGACAGGAGAAGTCTGCTATGCCATGTGGGGCAGCGCCTTGGCAGGGATCGAACTTGTGCTGTAGTGGCTGTGGATAGCTTTACAGTGCTGCACTTTAACCGACTGTGCCTCCAGGGAGGGTCCAATATGGGTTTAATTTTGACAAAAAGTCCCAGAAAGCACTAAAACATTTGTTTTCATTTAATGTGCCTCAAATTCTTTTGTATCTGCAGTCAGGATGCTAAGTATAAGTTTTTAGAGCTAAATGAAAATTCTAATCACCTTTTATCTCTAGGCAAAAGTGCCTTCCGGTGAGGAGCAGCTGACAATATGAATGATCATCCACTTTGGGACACGGGGAGTGAAGGGGCCCTGCCTCTACTAGTAATGCTGGGAAGCGGGCGCACCAGCCAACTGATGGGCAGGTGGGGATGTGTGGTGGTTCTCTGTAGTTTAGCCTTATCATGGGCTGAGTACTCAAGCTACCTATTAGGTTTGGGTAATTCCTATAAGCTAGCATTCCAGATGTGTGCTTTGTAACTTTAGTTGCTTAAAACAACACAGATACATTCTCTTACAGTTCTAGAGTCAGAAGTCTAAAATGAAGATGCCCATAGTGTTAAGGGGAAGGATGTCCTAAAGGAACTCTGCAGTCTTGTAGACTCCACCCCCTACTCCAGTTTTCTGGACCCTACACATTACTCCAGTGATTGAAAACTACAACTCCCAGCAGTACCAGGGACAGAACTGCAAGACCCTAGGGCGGAGCTAGCAGGAATGGATTCTGGGACATTTTGGGGGGATAAATAGGGCGTGATTGCATCTCACAGGGTCTGGCTCTCTTGCTCAGGTGCTGGCTTGCTTGGGAAGCAGCTCTCTGGACCGCGTGACTTGGTGTGTTCAGTCAGCTGCATTCACTTTGGAGACTGAGGTTTGTACCTTTTGAACACCTTTACTCATTTTGCTAGCTCTGCCTCCGGCAGCCATCATAGGCTTGGTTGGTTATGTATGGGCTTGGTTGGTTGGTTGTGAGATTATATGGTATTGTGCTTTTCTGTCTACCTTATAATACTTAGCATGATGTTCTCAAAGCCCATCCATTTTGTCACAAATGGGAGGATTGTGTCTTCTCTATGAGTAGTCGTGTGTGTGTGTACCATGGCTGTTTTCATATCTTGTGTATTGTGCTCAATGCTGCAATGAACATGGCGGTGCAAATATTTATTGCATCTATAGAAATTTTTGGCAAAAAGTTATTTTGTAATCTTCAATTTCATTTCCTGTTTTGTAAATGCCTTGACTTGTTTCCATGTCATTTAATATTTCCCCTAGAGTTATTTTGCTGCTGCATTTATATTACACTGTTTAAGTAGCCTGTTTGACTTAGCCACTCTCCTTTTGTTATACACTTAGATTGTTTTTGGTTTTCCATTATTATAGATAATGAAAGCTGCAACAATAATTCATGATGTGCCATTATTTTACATTCTCTGCTTCTTCCCCCCTCTCTCCTTTATAATGCCTCAGCTCTGTGGTCAGCTTTCAAGGGTCAGTTTTAAAGTTTGTCTTTGTCTGATCCTTGGTTTGGTTTCTCTGTATTCCACTTATAAGTGACACCATCTGGCATTTCCTTCTGACTTAACTTGCTTAGCATAATCCCTTCCAGCTCCATCCATGTTGCCAAATGGCATGAGTTTATCTTTTTTTGATTGCTGAGTAGCATTCCATTGTGTATATACACCACATCTTCTTGACCACACATCTGTACTGGGGCATTTAGGTTGTTTCGGTATCTTGGTTGTTGTAAATAGTGTTGCTAGAAACAGGCATACAGGTTTCTTTTTGCATTAGTGTTTTCATATTCTTTGGGAAGATACCTAAGAGTGGTATTGCTGGGTCATGTGGTAAATCTGTTTTTAGCCTTTTGTTGACTCTTGCCTTTTTTTTTTTTGAAACATTTATTTATTTATTCATACAGAACTGGGTACAGGCCAGAGATATGGAAGGCGAGAGGCTTCACCAGAGACAGATTGGGGAACAGAACAGGCAAATCAATGAAGTACACTGCTGCGGGGAGCAGCGGGCGGGTCAGGAGAGGTCTGCCTCGCCATGTGGATCTCCTCCGGGGCAGGCAGGAATCAAACTCATGTGGAAGTGGCTTAAGCTTCTTAGTGCTGTGCTTTAACCAGCTGCGCCACCAGTGAGGGCCTGACTCTTGCCATTTTTAAAAAAAGATTGCTGCAAGAATGTAAGATGGCAAAATACCTCAGACTCAGAGTTTGCAACTAATACTGATACTGCTGGTCCAGAGATCATACTTGGAGAACCACCGACTACTCTAGATGATCTTGATGTCCTTTCCTACCTCCAAATGTTTGGATTCTCAGGTCACCTGTGGTTTGGTGATATTACCACACCTGGATACTGTTGGTTGGGTCACTGTACATTTTACTTCCTGCACATTTTCAGGGCAGGGTGAACTTGTCTTTAGGTAAGTTTCATTTAAGTCAGTGATTCACAGGTCTCATGTAAGAATCACCCGAGGAATTTTCTGATGAACTGAGAATCATTTCACAGGCTAAGTCTATATCTGGAGATTTCAAAATGGAGCAACTGTTCATTTTAAGACACTTGCATGAAATTAAAATGTTAAATTTAGATTGTAAATGCATTTTTAGGTATAGCTCATGACCCATATAAAAGCTTGACTTGTTTTGACTTTAGAATGTACATTGGCTCCAATTAACTGCTGAAAGTGATTACTAATGACTAAAAGTTTCTAATGAGATTTATTCAAGGTGATAGAAATAAGATCAGAGCAAAAGCAGAAGTATTTTACATAATGGCCATAACAGCAGCTGACGTATTGCTTCCCAGAATTGTTTTCTGAGTCATTTTTTTTTATGCCCTGATGCCTCTGTTGTAACTTCTCAGTGGATTTAAGAGCAGATTTAAATCTCTGAGGACTTCTGTCAGTTCCTCACTTCTAACCAGCCATAACTAGACAGAGGGGGGAACATTCATCTCCAACACAATAACTTGAGATGACATTAAAATGTTTTTATTGTGGCATCGTATGCATAACAAAATGTGCCATCTAAACCATTTGAAAGCATGCAATTAGTTCAGTGGCATTAAGCACATTTTCATTGTCATGCCACTGTCAGTTCCATCCATCTCCAGAAATTTCTCATCCTCCCAAATTGAAACTATTCATTGAACAGTGACTGCAGTCCTCACCTTTTCCCAGCCCTGGGTAACCACTCTTCTACTTTCTGTCGCCAGGGTGCCTGTTCTAGCGATTATCTTATATAAGTGGCATCATGCACTATTTGTCCATTTGTGTCTGGCTTATTATGCCTTCAAGGTTCATCTAGAGATGATTTTTGATCACATACATCTGTGTCACCATTGAGTTTGGTCCATAAAGGTGTCAGTCTCATTTGAAGTAAACAAACACATAGGGATAGAGGGGAGCGCTGCTATTTCCTGGGAACCCCAGGCGATCCCACGGACTCTAGCTCCCCCTCAGATCAGGT